TCAACCCAGCCTATCAGGTCCTCTGGGCAGAAACTACTCTTATGTTCTACTTTTAGGAGGGAAAGGGAGTTGGGCCAAGATTTTCAGCTTCTTAGTACCAGTAACTGGTTCTATGGAACAGCCTCCCGGTGGAGATCAGGCTGCCGCCTTCCTGACTGCATTGGGAAAGATGCTGAAAAAAGAACCGTTCTGGAGAGCATTCTAAGTACACTGAACCATTTCAGTGTTATTTTTGACCTCTTTTATTACTGAGCTGCTATTTTATCATTATGTTCTTTTCATTTTATGCTGATATTACTCCTACTGTGGATCCTTTAAGCACTTTTTCTATGCTGTGTTAATCCTTAAGAGTCATTTGACTGTGACAAGATAGAAATGTTGTAATACAGAAATAAATAATGGGTTGACCCACATCATAGGGCTGATTATCACTACAGTCCCAACTCTCATCTAAGCAGGTCAACACAGCTTTAGGGTGAAAGGCATGTGAATCACTGCTGTTATCTACTGTCAGCTTTGCTAATCCTTCTCCAGGTTACATTAGGCAGTGAGAACAAAATTAAAGCTAAGCAAAACATTCTAGGAGAACAGCTTAGGAAAAACATGTTTTCTAAGGATCATTTGGGGCAGTGTTAATGGAACAGGGCATTTGTATACCAGCTCATCAAAGCTATTTCCATGTGGATGGAGGGGCAACAGGGAACTTCTGCTCTCTTCATCCGGCACTCAGTGTCCTGCCAAGGAGGCGGATGTGTGGCAGGGCAGAGAAGGGGCAAGACAGCTCATTTCAATGTGCGTGTGCACACACAGGGGTGTAGGAGCAGCTTTTACAGGCTATACATACATAGCTTTGACTGTTTAGTCTCCCTAAAAAACACTGAGCATTTGTACATTTATTAGTATTCAAGGAACACCCACAAAGCACAGATTAATGTGCTTGACCTTCAAAACAGGGACAATAAATGGCAGTCTACAGCCAACATGGTTTAGTTTTCAAATGCAAAAGCTGCTGCTTTTTTCTCTTTTGACAGAGGCATAAGGCACCACACATGGGAAGGATTGTGTGAGGTGGTGTTTAGGCAGAAAAGAAAGACAGGAGGATACCTTCCCTGCAGGCTAACAAAGCTGTCCTTGTATACAAGCATGATAGACAGCAGCTTCCCTCGCATTAAGCAGAGGAGAAAGTATCAACTGTCTTATACGAAAATCACAATTTAGCAAGTGAATAACAGGCTGTTTATTGCCATTTGTAAAATAGGAAGCAAAATTCACTGTTCAAATTGCCACTGGTAATGGATGCATCTCATCATTACTTGCATATCTGAGTAAAACAAACAGCTTTCTCTAGCTGGGACTAAAAAAGGTTATTTTAAACCACTTCTCCCTAATCTGGTACTCTGCTTCATTGAAGTGCATCTTCCATTACTCTAAGCCAGTGGTTCTCAACCTTTTTAATGCCGCGACCCCCAACCGGTCGTAAGTCGAGGACTAAACCGGTCGTAAGTCGAGGACTAAACCGGTCGTAAGTCGAGGACTAAACCGGTCGTAAGTCGAGGACTACCCAACCGGTCGTAAGTCGAGGACTTTCCCTGCCCGGGAGCGCCGCGCATGCGTGGTTCCGGCCCCTGCGTCGGCCGAGGCGTAGCTGGCAAGCGGCAGACGGATCAGGCCGACCACCAGTTGGCCCAGCTCAAGCGAAGTAAGGCACCCGCCGGAAAAGGGGAAAAAAATGGCGGACAGCCTTGCTTGGTGACCCCCGTGAAATGGTTGATCGACCCCAAATGGGGTCGCGACCCATAGGTTGAGAACCGCTGCTCTAAGCAGGCATGATTATTGGCCAGACTGACTGGGAGATGGGGTTTGTAGTTCAGCATAGCACAAAACATCAAACTAAAAAAGGCTAGTCTAGGAAGAATGAATTAGAGCTCCAAATTTGCAAGGAAGGAAAGAATAAAGTATCAGAGTAAGAACAGTGAGGGAGAATGCTATGATCAGACAGACATTATATGTGGGAGGGATCCAAGAACCATTTTAAGCAGAGATTTGGACTTAAGCTGATCTCTTTAGTCCCAGCCTAATGCACTGTCATCTAATGGCTTCTGCAATAGCAAGAAGATGGGCATGCAGCAGTACACTTTACAGCCGTTTTCCCCAACTATTGCCTTCCTAAAATGATGGTAGCACAAATCCTACCATCCTCAGCCAATAAAGCAGATGCTGACTGGGAATTCTGGGAAGCGTAGTTTCAACACATCTGGAAGGCATATGTTGGTGAAAGCAGCTTTGCTTCTTCCCCTCCTTCATGATATGGAATCCAATAATAAATCAGGGCTTTTCCTTTCCATAAATACGGTGCCAGATTTTGCTGGAAGGAGAATCAAAACAAAACAAGAGGTGCCTGTGGGTTCTAGGTTGGCAGTGTCATTTTTTTTTCTTCTGCTGCTGCAAATCTCTTGCTTCTGTTTTTAATTAAGTGGTGTTACATAAAAGGAAGACTTTTTTTTTTGCTTATAGCTTATTACATCTCTACCATTTAAAAATAGTATTTCAAAATCTCAGTAAGAAATCATAGGGAGAGTTTCTATTATTCCTTTGGCTTAATAATAATAATAATAATAATAATAATAATAATAATAATAATAATAATAATAATAATAATAATAATAATAATAATAATAATAATAATAATAATAATAATAA